TGGCCTTGGTGTTATCAGCACCGCACTCTCCCGAGTGAGCCACAGGCCGGCCCCAGTTGAGATATTCTTATGAGAATTTCTTTATCAGTCACACAAGAGGGACAGACCATATTAGTTTCCAAAGCTTCTCAGACATCAGAATCATCTGGGGAAATTATTTAAAAACACAAATACCTAAGACTCACCAAGAAAATACTGAATCAGTAGATATTTTAGGCTGGAGGCCTGTGAATTTGAATTTTGTGAAAGTTCTCTAAAGGCCCTGCATGCTGGGGTAGGCAGAGATGGCCCTCAAGATTTCTGCCCTCTGGAGTACACACATCTAGAGTGTGGGGACCTGCATGCATGATGGACTTTACTCTGTGATTATGTTACATGATATGATAAAGTGATGTAATTAAGGTTCCAAATCAGTTGACTTTTGTTAATTAACAGGGAGATCACTTTGGGTGGGCCTGACCTAATCAGGTGAGAACTTAAAAATGACTGGGCCCTTCCTAAAGGAAGAGATTCAAAGTCTGAGAGGAATTCTACTGGCCTTGTAAAAAGGAAACAACCATGTTGGGAATTGTCTACAGAGGGAGGTGTCACATGCTGGAAACTCAGGACAGCCTCTAGTTGCTGAGAGCAATTCTTAGCTGACAGCCAGCAAGAAAACAGGGACCTCAGTCCAAAAGTCTCAAGGAACAAAATTCTGAAAACAACCTGAATGAGCTGAAAGAGGACTCTGAGCTTCAGATGAAAACACAGTCTCAGCCAACACCTTGATTTTAGTAGGGAATCAAGATCCTGAGTGGGGGAGCCAGCTATGCCATGTACAGGTCTCTGAGCTACAGAAAATGTGAGATAATGAAAGGGTGTGACTTAAACTGCTCACTTTGTGGCGATTTACTATCCAGAAATAGAAAACTAACAGATGTTCATAGCCAGGCTGAGAAACCACTGGACTAGAAGATTCTCAGCGTTCTATTTTCTGAAATAAGCTGCCAAATATATCAAATATTCTATAATAATTACATTATGTCAAATGTCACTGTTTATAAGCCTATTTCTAACTTATGAATATTATAAAATGAGAGAACAGGGTGAAAAGATACTCTTTACACATCTGTTAGCTTCATTAACCCATAGTGGTATTCTAGTGGATTGGTACGATTCACTGCGTTAGGCTGGGTGCATGGAGTGTAAGAACCAAGGCAAGAGCTAAATCCAGGAATAGCCAGGCACTCATGGACATATGGGGAATGACCGGGCAAGGCAGCAGTGATGATTAGGAAGCTGATATCCTAAAACCAACGCCAAAGACAGTAATGCCTATGGGGAACTTGAAAGTCAAAACCAAGTTGAAAGAGAAACACAGCCTCTGTTAAAGAGACAATTCTAGGGCCGGCCTGTGGCTCACTCGGTAGAGTGCGGTGCTGATAACACCACAGCCTCTGTTAAAGAGACAATTCTAGGGCCGGCCTGTGGCTCACTCGGTAGAGTGCGGTGTTGATAACACCAAGGCCACGGGTTCGGATCCTATATAGGGATGGCCGGTTTGCTCACTGGCTGAGCGTGGTGCTGACAACACCAAGCCAAGGGTTGAGATCCCCTTACCGGTCATCTTTAAAAAAAAAAAAAAAAAAGAGACAATTCTGAGAATGCAATGAGAGAGGGAGAGAGAGAGAAAGAGAGAGAGACAGACACCAAGTTCTCACATGGGTCATCCCCAGGCATAGAGAATTGGAAGATAAGAGTGTTGTTAAAAGAAAGCAAGTAGCTGGCTATAGTCCACTGCATGGGTATATCTGGAGGGTGCTGGCCTTGCCACTTAGTAAACATTCAGAAAGGATAGCTGCCATGCAAGTGAAACCAATTCCTAATCCTGGGAAGCTTTAAAAGCATCTAGTGATCTACTGGTCTGTTATCTTATTGTAACTGGTTGAGGTGAACTGAAACCTGCCATGTACATTGTGAGAACTACCAGATGGAGCAAGGAAAAAGTACAAGGGCTGACAACCTTCTTCTATGCCATCTGCTTTTCAATCCTATTTCCACTTTTTGAGAGGATTTTATTAGTCTCCGTTACAGAAACTTTTGGATGCAGCCACTTGGGTTTAGGTTTCTGAAGTCCTCAAAGGTTGGAGAGGTACTGAGTTGCTTTACTGCAAAGATTGACACTATCCCATATTATAAAAAGAGCTAACATTGATTCAGTGCTTATTCTGGTTTTTTGAGCTTTGAGTGGATTACATTATTATTATTATTTAAAAAAGATGACTGGTAAAGAGATCTTAACCCTTGACTTGGTGTTGTCAGCACCACGCTCTCCCAAGTGAGCTAACCAGCCATCCCTATATAGGGATCCGAACCCACAGCCTTGGTGTTATCAGCACCACACTCTCCCGAGTGAGCCATGGGCCAGCCCTGGATTATGTTATTTTAACTCTCACTATAATCCTGTGAGGTAGGTACTATTTTTACCTCTCATTTTGCAAATGAATATACTGAAGGTCAGAGGCTTTAAGTAACTTGATCAAGCTCAAACATCTAGGAAGACAGAAATGAAGATTAGAATCCAGACATTTTGACAATGAGGTCTGTCCCCCGCCTCCGCCTCCTCCCCCATAACTCTGCTACCTTCTCTGTTGGCTTTTTATTATGTATAAAATTGAATAATTGATTTCTTTCTGCCTCCTCACTAATATATACACTCCCTGAAGGCAGGGACCTGGTCTTATTCATATCTCCACCCACAAGCTATCACACCCCTCTCATTCTGTTAGTCTCCCCATTGGCTGACTTGGTTCCATGAAGGAATTTCATTGTGGCAGCATGAGCTGACCTCATACTGGTGGCTCCAAATCAGAACCCGAACATTCTACGGGGAGCAGAACTGCTTAGTTTCTCAGAGAAGTAAAGGAGAGATACTGGACTACAGCTAAATATTTCCTTTCATCTGTATGATAAAAGACTGACATTTTTTGAGTGATGGACAACGAACATTCTACGGGGAGCAGAACTGCTTAGTTTCTCAGAGAAGTAAAGGAAAGATACTGGACGACAGCTAAATATTTCCTTTCATCTGTATGATAAAAGACTGACATTTTTTGAGTGATGGACAAGGTTCAAAGTTCTTTCACTTTTTTATTTTTGTTTTTAATAGAATGCCCTCTTCATTTATGCTTGCCTTATGCAGATAGGTTCTATCGAGTTGGGATAATAACACACTCATCAGGTAACTTCAACCATTGGCTTTACTTGTCTCAGGAGAAGTAAAAAGCTGTTTCAGGGGTAATAAAAAGAGGGTAATTACATTTCACTGCTACAAGTTTTCTTTTCAAGGTGATAAAGAGTCACAAACACCCATGAAAGTCATCACACAGCCCAACGTGCCCTTTGGTGAAATTCCATTAGCTGAGATTCAAAGGACTTTCTCAAGACCCACAGGTAAGTCATTGTATTACTCATTCAGTAAAATGAGAATTATCTGCTATGTGAATGTGCCCTGTGTATTAGCAAGGTACATAAAATATAATATAATTAGATGAACACTTGCTCAGAAATTAAATCCTATGCTCATCACTCTGTGTAAGATGTGATTTCTCTTTAGGAATTGCTGCTTTCTTCTCTTTAATTTCACTTTAATTAGCACACATAAAAACGTTTATTCCATCCAGATTATATGAATGCATCTGTATGACTTTAACTGTTAATTCAGTGCACATGTTTTGGCAGTCAAGTGTGTGAGTCCAGGCATAGATGCTATGCAAGTGTCTGGTATTCTTTATAGTCATTTATCTTCTATACTTTGCTTTTTAATTTAAGAACTAGAAAAACTCTATTTATCTTAAAACAGCAGAACCAACCCTGGCAATCTGTGAAGTTAGGCAGCAACTCTTTGTGGAGATATGTGATGTTTATAAACAATCTCAATTCAGTACAAGGGAAATGCTCTATGTATGACATAATAGCATCTAATTTGTGTCTGAGGAAAGGATATCACCATTGGCCCCCCTTCTGCCCCCAGCACTGGCTTTCTGAGCTTCTGATGAGATCACGGTACCCTAAGTCTCTCTAGGCCCTCAACCTGGGAGGAGGTATCCCAACTTTGTGACTGCAGAAGTAGACCAGAAACCAAAAGTGTTATGTTGTTAAAGGCCATATTCATGAAAGGAAACTGGATGTAAATAGAACATTGTGCTTTTGCAAATTAACCCACATATTTCCCCATTAAGCATGGGGATAAATTTATTAACAACATTTACCATCCTAGATATTTGGAAAGAATGTGTTAGGCTCCCTTGTCTAATACCAAGTTATTTCCTTACTCTCCTGAATCTATTTGAAACCTGTCTTTTCTCTTTGATCTCCTTCAATGGCCTTCTAGCTGAAACATCTAATAACCCCGTAGAAATTTTAAGCAATAGAGGTAAGTCAAGGGATCTGGAAGGGTGAGCTCTGGGGCATTGGAGCTGTCTCTAGTTGTCTGGTGCCTGGCCCTGGGGGTGATTAGGGCAAGTGGGAAAAGGCCATGAGTATAAGAGCTTAATAAAGGAGGTAATTGGGGGTTATGGACTTTGGATTGGTTGGTTTGTATATGAAAGTCATGCTCCTGCTTGAAGGCAAGTGGTTTACTACCTTCAGGAATTAAATGGTCCTGGGAGGGACAATCTGTTCAGGATCAGTAAGGACCCAAGATATCAAAGTATTGGAAAATACAGAAAATAAAAAACATGATCAATACATCCACGCATTCCAAACACATTATTAATCTTTCTAAAGCTCAGCTATGAATATTTCACTTGCCAGTTCACACCAACACCACCACCGAAGCACAGACCTTGAGTCCTAGCCAGGGTATCAAAAGGCCTGCATTTTAGTCCTTACTAACTTATTTTGTGAGCTTGCACTAGAGATTTGCTGAGACCTCTGCCACCCCTGAGCTTCAGGTCCCAATTATAGGTAGGACGGGAAGAGGGGACACAATGGTTTGTCTAATCAGATCGCTGGAAGACATTAATTTTCTCCTATGTCTCGATTATATGAAAAGAAACCTGCCTCACTCATAATAAGAGAAATGTACATTGAAACTACACTGTCATACCAGTTTTCAGCTATCATGTTGAAAGAGGGCAAAATATTTCATAACTGTATTTGCAAAAAAGCAGGGAAACAATCTCTCTTATCTTGTTTGTAAGCTAGTAATGAATGCAACTTCTATAGAGGACAATTGGCAATTCTTATAAACTAAAACAATACGTTTACTTTTTGACCGAGAATGTTGAAATATACCTGAGATTTGTTTTGGTCAGACACCCAGACGTAGAAATGATTATTGTGAAGGAAGTTTATACTCACAGATTCCTAGAAACAGGACACATAGCCCCC